GTGCGGGAAGGGGGGGGGGGGGGGGGAGCCCTCGCCGCCGGCGGAGGGGGGAGGGGCGCGCGCTGCGCACCGCGGCGCTTTGTTAGGAGCGCGGAGTCAGCGCGGGGCTGAGCGCGCGCCCCAGAGCGCGGTTCCAGGCGCAGCGGAGCGCGGTCTGCGTGGGACTTGGGTAACAGCGTGAACGGCTTTTCATTCCTTTCGCCGTGGTAGATGTTTCTGAATTTGTGTATCAGCTGCAGCCTGCATGTCTGCCTTGGGTGGTGCTTTCTTCTTTGTCAAGCTAGGAGCTGTTCTTTCTCATTCAAGTAGAAGAGGAGCAAGCAAGGAAATAAAAACAAGCTCAAGTTAATGGTTGAGGAGTTCTGAGGCACGAGAGCCTGGTAGGATTCCTATTTATGTGTATTTTTGATAAATTTCAGGCAATAATTTGAAATAACAGCTTGCGTCCATTATCTTTGCTGTACACAAGCTGCTTTGGATGTCCTCCATAGCTATCAGGACGACCTGTTTAAAATGTGTGTATGTGTGTACGTAAACATATAAAATTTGCCAGGAGAAAAGTAGGCAAAGTACCTTAACTAATCGATTATTTTATTCATTTGCCACACAATCCATGATAACTATTAATTTGTGTTAAAACAGATAAAAACATTGGGAGGGTTAACTGATTATGTGTAACACAGTTTCCATCTAGATCTCCTTCATACTTGTAATATGTATCTAATTATCTAATGATTTCGAGTCTCAAGGCAGGCAGGGTCAGGCCTGGAATACTCTGAGGGAAGCTGTGTGAGGAAAACCTAGTATTTGAGGAAGAAGGACACTGTTTATTGCCAGTTGTGTCATTCAAATGAAATGTGAACCTGTTGTTTTGACTGCTTGTGGTCATTGCATTCCCATGCCTTTCCTTTCTCCCTTGAACACCGAATAAAAAAAGATAGCATTATGATTGAATTCCACTTGTGTTAATTACTAGTTATACTTAAAGCTTCATCTGCAGTTCAAGTTGGATAAATAATTTTGGTTTTTTTTTTAAACTATTTCTGGTAGGCATGTTGTGCATTGGCAAATTAATTCCGTTTTTACACCAGAAGTGATTACCGTGCGCTAATAAACTATGATCTGTGTTTCTCATTAGTGCAAATGTTTGGGTTAAGTTTTCTACTATAACTTTTTCTTTGTGTTTTCTCATGCCTAAAAAAATATTTCAGGGGCTGTTCACACACGCCAACCTGAAGTGATTTTTTTAGGGGGGGAGGCTTATTTGCAACTGACTTGAGTTTGTGTGCATATTTAGGTGTGCTAACAAAATAATACATATATACATACTTATGCACATACATGCACTTTACCTATGTAATTTTTTTCAAGCTTACAGCCCGTCCCTTATAGTCCCCCAAAGAAGAGTACTATACTTCAGAGTAAAAATTAGAAGTTGGAAGATACTTTTTGTTATTTTAAAGTGATAAAGGTTTGTGTAAGAAGAGAAGTACTTAAGTCACTGAGCAATGCCACCGGAAGATATTTAGGGTAAGGTACTTATTGCATGTATCTTCGTCTGGGCACCTGTAACAGTGTGAGAAGCCTTCCGTTCTGTGTTTCTTGGAATTTACTGTGCAACTGTCCTGATGTACCTACACGTTCCCAAATGATTCTGTTTGCTGTCTGAGCCATACAGTGTAAACTACTTCCATTTCAATACAGATTCATACATGTTAAATTATATCCTGGGCATATGTTGTAGAAGTCTCTTTCATCATCAAAATGGAAATTATTTTGGCCATGAGATAAAGACCTATAGGAGTCCTTTCTCATACTCTGTGGAGGAGCCAGCAGGCTTCCAGAAGGTGATTGGTATGCATAAGAAAAAAAGAGTGAATATAAGTACATAGTGGTGTTTTGCTGCAGCTTCTCAGTGCTCTAAGTTCTCTGACATCTCAGAGTGCTCTCTATTCACCTAACTGAAAATGTGCTTTAACATATTGAAGGAAGTAGGCTAAGTATGTAACATCTTGAGAAGAATCTTCAGTAAGTGCATTAAACTCTTTTAGCAGTTCCTGAATTCTTATGCATCCTAGATTGTAATCTTGGCTTCTTTGTGGAATGGACACAAGTACAATGTGTATGTGTGGAAAAAAATAGTTAAGAATGTATATGGGGAAAGAGAGGGGAATCTGGGGAAAGACTAATTCTCAAATTAAAACCTACATTTCCGTTCTTAAATGTACAGCATTTGAGCTTATAGTCAACTGGGGATCTCAGATGGTATCACAGTAAGAATAATAGCAATAAATGATAGTGTGGTATAAAAGCAATACTTAGAGGTTTGCTATGGCTCCAGCCATGAAGATAAGGTTTCATCCTAATACATAGATTGTTAATATATATGAAGTCCTGTTTGGCAGTGCTTTAAATAGTTACTGATATCAGTTCATCTCTGCCAGTCTGTGTAGCCAAATATTTACCTCCTTGGAATCCAGAAGTTTACATGTTATTGTGTTTAACTTCTTTGACCTTAGAAAAGTCTACAAAGTTCTTGAAAATCCTTTATTTTGCTAATTAAAGGGCTTTTCTATACATGACTATGTCATGATTTTTAGTCTGAGATTATCAGACATTTTGAAGCTAGAAATAAGATTTACACACCCAAGTGGAAGGCAGTGTGAGCCCTTTCTGATCCTGGTTCTCAGGATCATATGGTATTGTACCTTATGACTTTTGCTGGTGGTGCTGCTTTTCATTCTTTTCCTCAGTGAAACTGAGCTTAAGACAGGTTGAAGAGTCCATATTTGGTCCCAAGATTTTAAGCAGCTATCTAAAGCAGTTCAATGGTCTGGAATGGTACAGTAAGTCCTAAGTAAGATAGATCCATTTCATTACAGGTCTTTCGTATTTACAGGTTTTGAGAGCTGTTTCATGGATACTTCAAGTTTGTTTACATACACTTAGTTTGCACTGTGGGATTATAGATGTTTAAGAAATCCTGTCATCAACAAAGAGGGTGATGTAGGTTTTCACAGAGAACAACAAATGACCTGATGTAGCGTCATGGAGGAAATGCTGGATCAGAGAACTGTCTTCTTTGCACTCAGCCACCCAGCTCTCTTCCTTCTCTCACTTTTTTCTTTCTTGCAAATTAAGCAGGTTGTTCTGTGAGCAGCAGAACAACCAGAAGGCTGGCTTACTATGAATCTATGCCCGTTGTCCCCTAACTCCTGTCTGCTGCAAAAATTCCAGCTCTCCCATATCCTTATGACACCATTAGTTTTTAAGAGATGGCAGAACTGACTAGCCAGGAGCTACACAGGTGCTGACTGTCCAATCAGTACATGCCTGGTGATTGCCCAGTTGAGTACTGCTGGAAACAAAGTACATAATTAAGTGTTCCTTGTCTTTTTCACTTTTCACTTAGCT